TCTTCATTGGTTGTGCTGAAGTCATAATTGCAGATTTGATGGCCGCCGGTGACCAATCCAAGTGAAAAGATTTCAAATATGTAGCTATTCCGGCAACATGAGGACATGACATAGATGTTCCAGATAGTATGTTATATTTGACAGACCTTTTATCACCAGGAAGGTCAGAGGGTGAACCAATTGGTGAAAATGCAGCCAATATATCTACTCCAGGGGCACTAATATCTGGTTTCAAAATTTCAGGAACTATGTTATTTGGACCACGTGAGGAAAACTCAGCTACATCAGGTGCAATAGGATCTGCAATTACTTCACTCTTGAGTATTGCAGCTTTTGAATCTTTTGTTGAATTTGTATAGGATTTCACAAGATTGTACTCATCTGAATACAATGTCAATGAAGGAAATGGAGTAATCTCAGCTGTATAACCCTTACTCTTTGTCTCTAGTATGGAACCAATAGCACCATTCTCATATGCATCTAGATCACTAGAACCATCATCACATAAAACTATCTTTCCTTTCACATGAGCAGTACTGTGTTTTGTTACAATGGGAAATTTTGTACCATTTGATGTGAAAGAGTTTATTGATTTCCCAGTTAGTGTTTTCCCATTCCCAAGAACTACCTTGTCAATGAATTGACGATCTATTGTACTTGCTGCAACAGTTAGTATCCATGGTGCTACACTTACAACTGTGCTTGGATCAGGACCATCATTGCCTGCAGAATTCACTGTAAGTATCCCTTTTCCCATAGCATGAAAAGATCCAATTGCAATAGTATCTTCATCGAAGTTCAATTGATCATCACCTCCCAAGGAAATGGAAATAATATCAACTCCATCCGCTATTGCATCATCAAAAGCAGCCAAGATATTATCTTCACTGCAACCAATAGCAGTACATACTTGATACACAGCAACTCTTGCTAATGGAACTCCCCCTCTTGCAGTACCTTCTGCAAGTCCATGAAAGCTTGCATTATAAACATTGTTTCCAGCTGCTGTTGATGCTGTATGGGTTCCATGGCCATCATTATCTCTTGCTGAATCTTCTGCATAAAACCTTGCTCCAATGATCTTCTTGTTGCAAGTGAAGTTCTTGCCACCAGCACAAGTACCCTTCCACTTTTTTGGAATGGAGCCAAAACCTTGATCATTGAAACTGTCTGATTCTGGCCAAATGCCACTGTCAATGAATCCAATTACAGTATCACTCTCAATGGTTTGCCTTCTTTGGACTGACTGAGGAAATCCCATGAAGTCCCAAGATCTTGTTGTATGAGTTTGAAGAGTTCTGCTTGGGAAAACTGAGATTACACCTTCCATCTGACTTAGTTTTTCCCTTTGTTGATCAGTGAGCATGGCAGCAAAACCATTGAAACTTCTTTTGTAACTATGAATTAGTAGGGAATTTGTTGATTTGTTTTCACCAACAACTTGTTGCAGCATGCTAAGATGATGAGAGGTTGGAGAATATCCTCTCTTAGGAAGTGAACCCATATACACAATGTGAGGTTTTGGATTTTCAGCAACAGCTTCATAGGATAGGGAAAATATACATGCTAGAATGAAAGGGACATAAGAGGCATAAAAGATTAAGATAGCAGAGTTATGCTTGGCCATTGTTTAGATTTGTCAATGGAAAAGAGTGAATGACAAATTATTTATAGTACTACTCATTTCTTTTTGTATGTAAATATCTCAAATTTTAGTAAAATAAATAAAGATTTCATTCCTATTTAATTTCCAATTTACAATCCAATAGTGAAGGTTTTGTTCCTATTTAAATTCTTACTCGTAGATTTATTTTTTATTATGTCTTTTTATAGATTTATTTCTTTCCCTTTTAATTTAATTTATTTAATGTTTTTTTCTTTTTAAGATTGATTTATTTTTCATTAATGTTACTCTAAATCACAAATGATTTCATTATTCTTTGAATTCATTGTTTTTTGGAAATATGAATTCATTGTTTTCAATCATTCCAAAATGGGAATTTAATCATTTACCAAAAAAAAAAAACAATCCCTATTTACTTTGTCAATATCTAATCTAATATCTTCCGATTTGAATTAATAAAAATAAATCAGATTTTCCTTCTAAAATAGTTTATTTTCATTAATTGAAAAATTAAATTATTTTTATTTCTGGTACATGATTAAATTCATTTTTTATTATGTCTGTTTATAAAATTATTTCTTTCCTTTTAAATTTAAGAAATTCGTTTTTCACGTTTCTAAGATTGACACGTTTTCTTTAACGTTACTCTTATAAATCATAAATGATTTGATAAATGGGTTTATAAGAAAGAATTTGATTTTATATCAATTACAAAATCTTTTAACACCCTTTAGATTTGAACCCTTGATTTGATTAAGAAACTAATATTGCAAAAGTAACCGAGGAAGAAATTAAGATAGTATTTATTGACACTTACATTGAATTTTATGTTTTTATAAAATTTAAAATCAATGATAATTTTTTTTAAGGTACAAGGTTGTGATTATTATTTTACTTGTAAATTTTAAGGAGTTTATCTTTGTATATGAGATATAAGATAGGATATTTTTACTACTATTTTTTTCTACTACTACTCTAATCATCATTGAATTAGAGAAAAAGATGAATGAAGTGAGAGAAAAGAAAAACAACCTTTTGAATCCAACAATAATTAGAGTAGTTCGATGGAGTGCTGGTAAAAAACATTAGTAGAAAGAATATCCTACATCATGAGATATATAGCATATAAGCCTATCTAGGTAAATGAGAAATAAATTCAAAATGAAAGAAACCAAAACTAAATATATGACTAGAATGGAAGTATTTTGAAAAGACCCAATCTATGTTAGGACTTTAGAAGATTAAAAACTTTATCGGCAAATAAATCAACTTTTTGCTGATATAAGCAAAAAAACAAATTACAAGAAAATAAGAAGTTTATAAAGACGGGGAAGGATCCGTTTACAAAAATGGATGATAAAGTATGACCGGTCATATTTAGTATAGTTTGTAAATAAAAAATTTGTAAATATAATTTTTTCCTATAAAGAATGGAAGGTTTTATATTATTTATGAGTAAACACCCTTTTTAGTCCCTGGCAATATCTACGAAGTCCTTTTCAGTCCCTGGCAATAAAAAAGGACCAAATTGGTCCCTGAAATTACAAGAAAAGGGTCACTCTACATATTTGGGAGTTGACATAAGGACTAACATGGTCTTTTTTTGTAATTTCAGGGACCAATTTGGTCCTTTTTTATTGCCAGGGACTAAAAAGGACTTCGTAGATATTGACAGGGACTAAAAAGGGTGTTTACTTATTATTTATTGTACTGTCTGAAAAAATCTTTTAAATTCTTAAAGTTCAGTAAAATCAATTAAAATATTGTTTAATGGAATGTTATAAAAGCTTATGTTAATCGTGATTCATTTGAGTTGGTGCAACTAAAGTTATTAAATAGTCTTGATACGTTCCCTTCTTGTTAGATTATATGTTCTTCATTTTTTATTATGTCTTTTTATAGATTTATTTCTTTCCCTTTGAATTTAATTTATTTAATGGTTTTTCCTTTTTAAGATTGATTTATTTTTCATTAATGTTACTCTAAATCACAAATGATTTCATTATTCTTTGAATTCATTGTGTTATGGACCAGAGAAAGGCCCACAGCAGCAAGAAACCCAACCAACATCAGCCCAGAGATAAGCTCTATAAATAGGACTAAAGACCACAGGTATGACTGATCTCTCTAACCCTATTTCATTTAAGACACGACAGTGCACACACACCTCTTATGGCTAAAGCCATCATATAGTGTGTAGTGATCAGCTGTCCCCAAGATACCTAGTTCATAGGTATCTAGAGAGAAAGTCCTAGATCCAACATCAAAGACCCGACCTTCTGTCGGACATATCTGCCTCAGGCAGAACATTGGCGCCGTCTGAGGGAATTTTCCACGACCACGTGATCAAAAGCCACGATGGTGAGAGTAACAAGAAGTGGATTTCGACAACCATCAAGATCGAATTCCAGAATCCAGCCTATTTCCCCAATTAGGGAGAATCCCATGGATCGACGGCAGATAGATACCGATGCCATGCACGTGAGTGATGTGCATTCCGATTCGGCATCGACTCCAGCTGTTAACCAAGACGCTCCTTACGTGCAAGGTTTACAGCCAATGGAGGAACAAATAGCGGATACTGCACAGGCACCGATTGGTGCAGTCGCTGATTCGCAGGTAACAGATCTGGCAGTTGTCGCAGTGCTTCGGAGAATGCAGGAGATGGAGAGGAGACACGAGCTGGAAAGGGAGAAAGCTGCCAGACAAATGCGAGAGCTGGAGGCCCGAGTGGGTCAAGCTACCAACCCGAACCCGGAGCAGGCAATAACATGGGTCATGAATGACCTACGGATTGCAGGCACCCAGACGAACCCTAATGGGACTCAGGCCCAGGGAAGAGGGGTTGGAAACGTCGAAAGCCGGCCTCAAAGAAGCACCCCCAATGTGGTCCATAATCAAGGACCTGAGGTTCTCAATAGGAACGGGGGACAAGAGAGACCGAACCCGCACCCGAACGATGTGTCCGGGGTCTACAGGAGGAAGTATCATAGGGGGCAATATAATGACAGCCCCTTCGCGGACAAAATTGTGAATGCACCATATCCAGAGAACCTAAATTTGTCTGAAATTCCAAAATATGACGGAACGCAAGACCCTCAGGTGCATTTGGATGCCTTTGATACGACAATGTACATTAAGGGGATTGAAGATCCGCTGATAACCCGGTTATTTGCAACCACCCTGACAGGAGCAGCTCAGTCGTGGTTCTCCTCTCTGCCAGCAGGATCCATCAGGTCGTTTGAAGAGTTCGGAGGCAGGTTCTTGTTAAATTTTGCTACAAGCAAAAAATAGCCGAAGTCCGAATTCGCACTGGGGAAAATAAAGCAGCAGCCTGGCGAAACCCTGTAGAAATATTTGGACCGCTTCAAGATGGATGCGTTACAAGTTCCTGAGCTATCTGAAAATGTTCACCTTCATTTGGTGATTGCCGGCCTTCACAGATCTTCCAGGTTGGCCAAGTCCATCTATAAAGACCCTGTACGAACTCTAGTTGAGTTCACTACTCGTTCCAAAAAATACTTGGAGCTCGAACAGATGGAGATTGAAAATGCGGACCCAAGGCCGCACCAAAGCCAGGTAGAAAAACCCGAAAACCGAAGGCAAAATGATTTCCGGGGTAAAAAACCCTAAGAGAAAAATTTATCCAAAATAAGATTTGACAGGTATACGCCTTTAAATTCCTCTCGGTCCCAAATCTGGAGGGAAGTGGCATCCACCGAGATGAAAAGAGTGGACAGACCTCGGCCACTACTGAATCAAGCTGGGCTTGATCAATCACGATATTGCGTGTTCCATGATGGCCCTGGTCACACAACCGACGAGTGTTGGGATCTCAGAGACGCAATTGAAAGATATATCAGGGAGGGAAAGTTGTGTCAGTATCTCATACGAACTCAAGGATGGAAGAACAATAAGAAGAGAAAAAGAGGACGACCGATGAGCCCGAACTGAGAGAAGAAGTTCAAGGATGAAGGTCGAGGTAAAAAGCCGGCCAAAGAAGACGACGAATTCGTAGAGCCCGAGTTCGAATGCAATGTTATTAGTGGAGGATTTGGTGGAGGAGGTGATACCATGAATGCCAGAAAAAAATACTTAAGAGAGGTGCTTTCAATTCTAGAGCGGCCTAAATTTAAAGGAGAGGAATCAGAAGCACCACAGCTGTTCTTTACAAAAGCAGAATTGGAAGATGTCATGCCGGGGCACGTTGACGGGCTAGTCATCACCGGGACACTAGTCAACTGTAAAGTCAAGAAAATGTTCGTGGATAACGGCAGCTGTGCCGACATAATTCTGTGGCAGGCATTCTAGAAAATGAACCCGGATGTGGAGGATCTGAAGCCTTGCAACACGGCTTTGATGGCATTCAATGGCTGTGATACTATTCCTAAGGGGTACATTGATCTGAGGCTCACCTTGGGAACAAAGGAGGCTTAAAAGTCGGAAAAGGTAAGATTCATCGTTGCCGACTTCCCATCGGAGTATAATGTAATTTTGGGAAGACCAACTATCCACGATTGGGATATGCTGGTCTCCACTAAGCATCAGAAGCTTAAAATGGTTGGTAAGCAGAATACGGTCAATACCATTCATGGGGACCAAAAAGAATCTCGGGACTATTACTTTAAGTCAGTCAGAGCAATAAGCAGTAACTTTAAAACGCTAGGTGGGTTGAGCACCAGCGATAAACCGGAAGCCTCCAAGAAGGGAACTACACCGGTAAACATGGTGGAATTGGACATGAGGGATGAAACTTAGATCCCAAGACCGGAACCAGATGGGGAGCTGGAGGAGGTAGTTATTGGAGAAGAAACTCAAATAGCCAAAGTTGGAAAAGGGCTGGCTAATGAGGACAAGTTTCGGATTACTGAGTGCTTAAGAAGGAACGTGGACATCTTTGCCTAGAAGTCCTC